CCCACTTTGAAGCGGTCACCTGAATATGCCCGAAGTGTGCCGGGATCATGTTCGTGCATCCTACGATGTCACGGCAGGGTAAAGGAAGAACGAGAATATTCGAAACAAAGCGTGGTACCTCGTAATCGTCATAACGTGGAGAACCCCCACACGACCGCCCAAGTCATAGTTGACGAACTTTGCAATCAATCGCCGCAACAAAAAAACTGCTTGGAGACTGCCAGTGTTGCACTTGACGCACTTTCCTCACGTGTATCCGCGGGCACTGAAAGGTTGGCAGACGTCTTGGAGAAAGCAGCAGCTCTGGTAGGCTGCAACAGACCACCGCTTCCAAGGTGCCTCACACCTTCTTAATGCTTTACAAATCAAATTCTCACTTGAGTACTCACCTCTGCTTCTGAAACATCCCGACGCATCGTCCAATGCTTAAACTTCAAACTGGAAAACCGTTCACTCCTCCATCTTCAATATTTTTGCGAACATCCACACACACTCACGAACCTGAAGCCTTATCAAATCTAGCCCTGCGATACCTCCTCAAATCCTCTGAAACCCTGAAGCACATGGCACAGGAGAAGATTATGACAAGTCGCAGTAGGAGGCTGCTCGGTTTGCAGCAATGGCCTGCGGTATCTCCTGGCACGCACTGAACTTGAAAGGTTCTTGAGTATCTATAGTGAGCTTGAGGTATTTGGGCATAATGACGAAGGGAGTGGCGCTTTTCTGCCTTTTTTTGAGGTCGTGCAGGCGCAGTAGTTACCTAAAAGGGGTCCAAGGCTGCTTGACTCGCGGGCAGGGGGTCCTAATATGCATACCTTCTTTGTGACCTGCCCAGAGCAGAAGAAATCTCGCACCAAAGTGCGTGGACCGGACATGGATGCGTTCAAATCATCCCCAGGCGTACTAACTAATCCCAACATGCCCTGTACCCACAGCGTACTAGTGGTCAGTAGGGAATGAGGGAATATAATCCCTATTTACAATCTCTATATGATAAATTCCCCCAACCAAAAATTTATATAATCCCTATAACTACTTCCCGCATCCCCTACTATCTACTAACCCTAGCAAGACAAGGGCTCGGATCGTCCCGAAGTCCTGGCCCATGGAGCGGAGAAGACGACGCAATCGGACGAACTCCTCCCACCGGCTTCGGGAGCACACCCAAAGGGTCCGCGTCGCTTTATAGCATGAAATTAAGGCCTCCAGGGGTTCCCAGGGCCCAAACATGTACCATAATCTAACTACCTGGACCCTTTCGGGTGCGCATATCGTATACGCTTGCATCTGCCTAAGGACCGTCACCACACATGGTCGTTGTAGTCTGACAGAGCTATGCCGATTTGTAACTACACTGGCTAAAATGCACGAAAACTACCCAAGCAGAAAAACTGAGTGATGATAAAGGGGCTGCATACTTCTTTCTCTCCATCGCAACAGTGGTAGCGCGCATGCCTTGAGAATGTGTTTAGAGTCTTCTGCTTCATGACAAGAAAGCACCACCCGCCCTCAAAATCCAATCGCCCAGAAAACGTCTAGCATGGCCTGCCGTCAGTCAAAGCGATTCCTGAATCTCCCTTCCTTCTCTTCCCTCACAGCAATCCTGCGCATATGTTGCCTCCAATATGTTCATGGCCTCAAGCTCCTGGCAAGGAACACATCCTAGAGCCAGGGCTAAGCTGTTCAGGTGTCAGGTGGGATGGGTACTTTGAGAATGTTGCAGCTGAAAAGGCTTAGCCCCCGTGAGCTGAACACAGTGCAAAGAGGTAGCGCGAACCTAAGATCCACAAAGCCGAAACCCACAGCTACACTTGAAGGTTCATGGGACGCAGTAACTCTCGATAATCGGGCTTCTGGCGTTACTTATAACCCCCCTAACTGGACTAAATAGGTTACCCCACTTATGAGTAAGGTTAGAAGTTCAGTTAAAGGTAGTGACTAAGTCCCATGGGCCTCCGGCATAAGCACGCTGTCAGTGAAAACTCAAAATCATCAATCCTGCTCAAGGCAATTTGACCTCCCATGAGCCCCAAACGCAAACAAAAAACCCACATGTTGTATCCAATCCACACCCCAAGCATCCAAGTATATGCAAAGATAGTGCCGGACCCCAAAGTCCCCATGACCAACAATTGCTGGGCACCCAAGCTTGTACTATACAGGTACTTGGACTCTTATGGGGACAATGGCACAAGACTCGTAACTCTCAAGCAGCCCTCTCCTCATTCCCTAGGTTGCACGGATCCACGCGAGGGTTCGCAGGACCTGTCGCCCAAATGTTGTTACTGTGGTTCCGAAGGGGAGGGGAGATGTGCTCCAGCTTTCAGTTTTCAGAGCTACGGAAATTGACAGACGAGCCCTGACCCACTTCAACCCACCCTCGACCTCGATTTTCGCGTGGCATCGGGAGCTGCGGAGTCGCCGAGCTTCCGATGGCGCGGAAGAGTCGCTTTGCAGACGGCTCCTGTGAGCGGTTTGTACAAGTGGGGAGTGTAGGCACCTTGGACCCCAGGATGCACCATAGTACTTCTGCAACACTCACGCTCAATTGCACAGGGTGCAGCGTCAAACACATAGAGGCCAGTCTTCTATCCAATTTAGCACATTATCGCTTTGTTGCTCTCATTTCCCAATCATGTAACAGGAATTACTACGTTCTCTTGCCCTGCTTTTGTCCTTTTCCCGTGTCTGGCACACGCCGATAAATTGTGTCAGTTCTACATATATACCTTATTGACCCAGGTTTTGTCCCAGCTCAATTTGCCTTCCTGATGAGAGACCTCCATGAGGAGCAGCTAGGATGCTTCACCATTTTGCGTGTTCGGCTTGAGGAATTCTGAGTTTTTGCTTTGGGCATGCATCACCGGTTCGATTCATAGAAGCCTGAAAGGCTGCAGGCTGAACTTGCTGACCTATATAAGCCCTATATACCCCCAATATTACACCAATGTAACCCCAATATAATCCTAAATAACCCTATATAACCCTATATATTGCCCTATATAACCCCAATATTATCCCAACTGTCGTGATCGTGAAGAACAGAATTCAAAATGAAGCTCTTTCCAGAAGTTCATCATAACGAGACCATCATTCTGACAACATCGCGAAACTCTTCTGCTGACTTCTGCTTCCTTGGTTGTCGGATACTAGGTGTGCTTGCTGCAGCGTTGTCTTGACTGTGTACCTTAAGCTCCCAGAGCAAACCTTCCAAAGACCGAATAGATGTATGCTGACCAGCTGGGGCCCAGGCTGGATTTGAGAGCCTCGGATGGGTGGCTTTATCAGAAATCAATTCGCTGAGGCCCCGTGGTGATTGGAAGCAGGATTTTAAGTGGCCAACAAATGTTATAAACATTCCCTCTGCTTACCATGGAGTACCTATACAACTGCAAGTGCGGTCCGAAAGTTCCACAGTGGCAGGATAGAAGAGAGAGCACAAAAAATCGTTCGCTATCTTGGATGAGCGACTGAAGACTACTCGGTTGCGGTTGCCGGGCTATCTGCACGTGCATTGGGTCAGCCCGAGTTTTTACGGTAGCTTGTGGTGACTCAATTGGAAATAATTGGAAGAGATGCCTGTTTGGGGGCTCTGCCTGGCAAAGCAACACTTCAGCGCTAAGAGAAGACGTGCCTTGTTTTGATTAGGGATGCCGAAATATCTGCTAGCCGGAGATAAAAACATCCTCGACCCATTCCTGTGCAGGAAGCCTAGATGCCTCCATGATATCTCTGCGAACCCTGTGCGAAGAAGCAACAGCTTTGCGCAGTTTGTTTTTAGAACTTCGTAGTCAACAAGCAGCCTGTCAGCTAAGTCTGCAGCTCAGGCTCTACTTCTGTAGGCCGAGCAGGCACAGGAATAGTGGGGTTCGCTGAAACAAGCATAGAATTGTTGGGATGGCAGTATGTAAAGTGTTGTGAACCCTTGGCAAATATTCAGCTACACTAGCAGGTGCAAGCCTCGCCTCTAGTGCTTCCTAGTTGACTGCGCCCCACCAAGCTTGACATGCGTCGGCATAATTTGCCTATGCATTGACACAATCCAACTGGCTGCCGCCAAAGAGATCTCTTCCAGGCAGATCATGCTATGCTGGCAAGAAAGCAGCACTAGGACACTTCTACTGGCACCACAACATGGACACCACAACGGCCTTTCGCAAAATATGAATCTCGTTTCAGCTTCCCAAGCCTCCCCAAACGAACCCTGACGAAGGAAAATCCGTCAGTGGCTGCTGGAGCGCTTGAACCGTTCATGTAACCCGAAGAGAGGGCAGGACTGTACAAGCATCAGCTTCGAACAGCTCACTTCCTCACAGCTCCTTCTCCTGGCAGTTCCGTCATGGAGATGGACATCCACGTGTATTATGCGCCCTTATCAAACTACTGCTGCGCCTTGGTTCCGACAAAAACTCTCGATTGAGATTTCACCCCAAATCCTGAACAAAGACATATCTGTCTAGAGAAGGACTGAGATTTATTTTGAACAATTTTGAAAGGCAGGATCAATTGAGACCCTATGCGTGGCCATCCATGAAAGCCCGCCTAAATGCAGGGAGTTTGCGAACTTGGGGCCCAAAGTGCAAGGATCCTCAGGAATGATCACCAGATTTCGGAAACTACCAGGTACAGGGATCTGTAGATCCCCAGCCAGGCGAGTGCTTCCGAACATTTCTTACCCGCCATGTCTGGGTCTGTATAACACTACATCTTGAACCAACAGGTCTAAATTGCGAGCATGTCAGATGCAAAGCCATTTCTGCCAAGACCTTCTGAACCTGCACTGACCCAACATGAAGTCCAACCAGTAGGCCTCAAGAGCACTATGTACTACGGCATTTGTAACCCTGCAAAATCTGTCCAGCATGTCCTGCGGACCCGTTGCAATCTGTCTGAGCCCATGAGTCCATTGCTTGAATCTGCAAGACCCTGGTGGTTAGCCAAAGTTTGGAACCACAAAAAGCTGATTACGCCAGATGTGTCCGAAAGCTGCCATTTGGCTCCTGCTTCAGAGGGTCCCAGGAGAGAGAGTGACCTTTTCGGTCGTCGCCGTTTTTTGCCTGGTTCGCGGTAACCATCGGGCCTGAGCTTGGCAGTGCATGAACACTACCTTGACCTTCAAAACACCCATATTCCTGGGGTAAAGGCTGGCAAGGTACAGTCTACGGTGCGTATCGCTGCCAAACCTATGATACAAGACATGCGAAATTTCTTGCAGCATCTGAATTGCTATCAATAGTAGACCTGCTAGTAAGACGATGGGGTACCCAGTTGTTCTGCTCATCGTGACTGCTGCAAGTTCTCCTTTTGTAACTTGCACATCGGAAGCATCTTGTGGTTTGTCAGGGCATGTCGAATAGATTCGATGATACTACATTGAGGAAAACCCTGTGACTCCTCCCTACTGTTCAAAAAACAATGTTTCATTGATGCACTTGCAGTTACATGAGCCCTGTATAGCCATGTCATGGCAGTTGGTGTCTCTAATCACTGGAATGTTGTCAACATGAGGAACAGCTTCATGAGCAGCATACCTGCCGGAGCTAAACTGTGCAGGCATGAAACGGATTTGTTAAGACTGTTTAACAGTTAAGCAAGAAAGGTTCGCTGTTTTCCCTTCTACTTTATATCTCTGCCCAGAGGCAATCATACAGGTCAAACTCCGGCTTGTTGCCATCACCTGTGAAGCAGCGGCATTCAAACTCTGCAAATCGACGGCATTGGAAACTGCAGCGCTCCATCTTCAAGCAGTCTGCTTCATGGGAACTCTGGCACTTGCTTTCGAGCTTTGGATACAAAAGTTTTTATCATGCAGGCAGATTGCGCGCACCTGGGTTCTGTCTAGGTACCGTCAGCTCTGCACCCACTGCTCCTCCGAACTTCATGCCCTTATTCCGGGGTGCCTAGTTCTTCCCACTGCCACGTCAGCATCTCGCACATGAGCAACGGCATCTCTTTCCTTGCTCTCCACACTGTAATCTGGGGGCACTAGGCCTCTTTCAAATGTGGGAGTCAAATGCCTGCGCTATCCTGCGCTCCACAGGAATTGTCTTATGGCATGCAGGATAAACTTGTGGGTTGGGGGCTTGCCATGCTCCCTTTTTGGTTTTCTAGCTGGGACTTTTTTGAGGGAAGGCGGACCTTTCCTCCCTGTTTCTCCGGTACCAATGTGTCAATGTGTGCCTGTCATGGCCTTGTTCTGGGAGGCATTGAGACAGTTCATCTGAATGCCGTGAGTGAGTGAGTGAGTGAGTGAGTAAGTGTGTGAGTGAGTGAGTGAGTGAGCGAGGATTGAGTGAGTGAGTGACTTGACTTGTTGCGCGGCCAACGCTGCTTGCTTGGCTTCGGGGCTTTGATTTCTGGAAACCAAGTCGCAGTTAATCAAATGGAGCCATACAAATTCAAATATTCTGAGTTCAGTTTTGCGGTGGCACCTGCGAAATGTAGGTGACGTTTTTAGAGTTATAGGTGGGCCAAGCTTTTAAGACAGGTCTGGAAAGGGAGGGGTCGTAACAACAAACTCTGGGGCCAGAGCTCTCTCTGGGTATTGTAGAGCTAAGAGTGGTGGTAGAGCAGGAGTAATCGTCGTGGTGGTAGTAGTAGTAGCAATAGTAGTAGTAGTAGTAGTAGTCATAATCCTAATAACAGGAGTAGTAGCTGTAGTACTGCTAGTCGTCGTTGTCGTAAGAGTACTAGTCGACTGGAGAAGGAAGCGATTGCAACTGCGAGCGATATTTTGTTTTATGTCACCCTTTCATAGTTGTCACCCTTCCTGAATGTGATGGATTGAGCGGAACGTCAAATTGAGAAATCAAAACTTTTCGGGTGTATTCATCTTGCCCAGATTTTTGCTGTTACCACATCCTTGGTATGAACGATTGCTGCATTGAAGGTTGGACCCCGAGCTGGTCTTCTGAAGCAATCATTATGCGCTATGGCAGTGGGCTGTATTCTCCAGGACGTTGACTGGACCAGGGCTTTGCGCCCGCTCAGCCAAGGGTGTCAAACTGCAACGAAATGGCCCCGCACATCTCGTAGTACATCCGGTTGCAATCAGAAGCAGAGTTTGCTGGTTGCCCGAATTCGCTAAGGCGGGCCTTTTATCATTCTGTTTCTCTTCACGTGGGGGGGGAGAGGCCTCTTAAGATTTGTGCTCTTCATGCGGAAGGTGCTTGCTGAAGACCTTTCAAACGGCCCCCTAAAACCACCAAGTGCATCCTGCAACATTCTATATTAAAATGCATGACTGCCAAACAGCTGTTTCAGCTTGGCATCGGCCACTTACCACACTCGGCTTTCTTTGTCACGAGGAAGTACCTGGGGAGCCAAGTGGAGTGATACAGCCGGTAGCAACAATTTTGGGAAGTGGTCCTTCCTCTTCCTGGGCAGCTTTAATGCGAAACGATCCAGTCGTTAGGGGCTCTCGTCGGGTTCAGGCTGCTCTGTGACGCTGTGCTTTACATCTTCTGTGCAGGGTGACATTTGCAAGCTGGTCAACTCCTGTTCTTGCGAAGCCACACAATCAGCCCTTCAACGGCGTGCACCCAAGCAATGTGCAAATAATGTCTGTGCCGAGGGCACTTGCCGCATGTCGCCGGCTGAGAGTTCAACAGCCTGCGCGCTGAAGATGAAAAGTGAAAATCCTTTTCAAACTCAAGCGATTTAGGCGTAACTCGTCAGTTGTACATTGGCTGGGCTATTTGCGCATCTCTTTGGTGCCTGCATCCGTCCTTGTAGCACCCAGTATGAGAAACATGACCTCAAACAGGCCCTCACCTACGGAAACCTGAACAATGAAGGACTGCTTGCTGTTCCAGACTCAAAGACCATTGAATACCATTGGTTCACGAAGGGTAACATGTATGATGTGCCCAGACCATAGCAAAACCACATGGCCAAGTTTATCAGTAGTATACCAACGAAACACGTATGTCATGCTTTGTTCATGCACCAATTCTGGTAGCCACGCGGCTCATTGCGAACTTTGAGAAGGCCGTCCATGCTCAATGTGCCGGCTTTCTTGATCTCCTGCCGAAGGCCTCGGACCAGCCGAGTGCTGATTCTGCCTCTAAAAGCTACAAACACGAGAAAATGTAACTTCCTCTATAGCTTGCAGCTTCAAGATCCCAATCAAGATGCTCGTCAGCTGAACCAGAACCTTTTGGCCAGATTGTGTTGAGGTGAACTGCATGGGAGGTCGCAATCTCCACTGCCGTCTGAGATTTCTGGCGCACAGAGTATCAAACGAACAAAAGCAAGAACATATCAGGGCATGCATGCTTTCAGGTGCTTTCCCTAGGACTCGAGTATGTCACTGGCCAATCCTGACTGTATACCAACCCGAGAAGAAACAAGGCATAGCAAACACTGATTTGCAAATGCATCATGTCTTGAGGAAGGGGTACTTCTGGAAAATGCCCTACGTCCCTGCGTGTCTTCATGCCGAGCTGAATTGCCACCCACAGAAGAAGCAAAGATGCAGACCCACAAGAACCCAGATGCAGCTGGGGAGCCCGTCAAACACGTTTTGTCAGACTCATTCGGGGAGCATGCAACATACGGTGTAGGGCAGCAACACATCCAAACATTCCTTGGAAGAGTCTTGCTAGGCAGTGCCTCTGAATGACACCGGGTGATACAAGGTTGACAGCAAGCAGCTGACTACCGACAATGAAGGATCGTGCATGTGGATGACCCTAATGAATGTCTGTCATGACCGAACTCCACAACCGCACAATGTGTTTGTTGAAGGGGTTGCTTCGCCGAGCTTTACATTGCCTGCATACATCTCTGCGGAATTGTAAGCGATCTACAAAGGAGAGAGGCTGGGATCCATAGAAAACATGAAGGCAACCCACTTCAACTTGATCTGATCTTGTTGGGATCCAGACCGCCGCAACTTGTGGCCCAGGAAGGCTTCGCACCGGAGAGATAGAGTGCGCGACTACAAGGCGCGGTTTGTTTCCACATCTTTCACATCCCCAATTCTGCATGCTGAGTGGCTCATCCTCAGCTGGGGCGAGCATTTGCGTAGCTTCGCCTGGCAATATGTGCCGCCAAGGGGAACGAAAAGCAATCCCGGCGATTTCAAAGCAACAATCATAAGAGTCATCTCTGGATGCCCAGCCTCGGAAAACCCTGAATTCCGAACTTGGCTCCTTCAGGTGCGTGTAGAACTTCTGGACTGCGAAGTCTTTGTGAAGAAAAGCTGTAGAACCCCTTTTAAGGAACATGCGCGCATCTGTTCGTGCAATTCTCACCGCACATATGATCACCGAATCATGATATTCAAGCCAAACGGCGGGATGAAAACTCAACTTGCATGACTGGAGGCCTTCGCAGATCTTCTCCAGCTGATCCAAGAAGCACCCGCTGGTCTGGACCGGGTGACAAATGCACGATGTTAGTCCTCACCTTTCTATATGCGTCCCACCATGATGAACAATTGCGGCAAAGTCCAAATTCAACACCTTGGCACAACAACCTCGCAGCACCCTGTTCTCATGTGTTCCCAGCACCGAAAACTCCAGCCTGGTAGTATGGGCAAGCAAGGCGCTCCTGCGTTGGCAAGGAATACCAAAAAAAAGGATTTTGCAAGGCAATGCGGGTAATATGTCATGTCATTACACAGCGCGGAGGCGAGTGAGGATACACCCTTCATCATCACCCTTCCTTCCAAGTGAGAAAATTGATTTTGTGTTGTTGCTTTCTGCGGCTTGCCCATCAGCTGGCCATTGGTTTGCAAAGCAGGCCACTTTCGAGCAGACACACGCCTCGTCATCGTACATGACTGGAAATGACTGATTGGGTGGGTCGCGTTGAGCAACACCTGTTGTGCCTTCGTCCACCCACACATGGAAAGGGCTCTTGGGATGGAAATGTTGCAAAGACTTGCTCCTCCTTCGGGAGAAGGGTCGCAGCCTGAGTGGCTGCAGCAAACAGCACGGCAAGCAGGCCGAACATTGCTTACGGCGCGAGGCTTGCGGCGGTACGCAGAGGATGTGTTTGCGACAACTAGTTTGGAGTGCGATTCCAGATAACCATGCGGTGTCAATGCCATGGTACATGCCCACTTGAGCCCGCAAGGCCACGCACAAGCATGTTCACCTACACGGGGAATATACTTGCAAATGGTGCGATTTGAGCATCACAGCAAGCCATGGATTCCGGTGGCCAAAAAGACAACTAGGATCACAAGGACAGGCAGACTTGGCAAATGATTCCACTTGAAGATGGGCTTCCTCTTCAACATCATGCTGTGCCCGGATTACATCATCACTCGTCTTGATTCACAAGCAGTCGAAAGATTCTCCATGATCAAAACAATTTTGAATGTACTTCGCGATGTGAATGGAAGCAAGCTCTGAATATTTACACATGTTCGCACAACCTTTGCTCAGCACCAAGGAGCAGGAGGTCAAACGGTTGAAGCCAAACCTCAATGATTCCAACGCTGTCCACCGACCGCCATACCAGCACACATGTGGCATAATCTTTGTTGAGCAACCTTGCTGGCTCCAATTCTCTGGGACAATTGCTGTGCAAGGAGGGAGACATTGCCTTTCCTTAGGATTGCCAGGAATTCGTGTTCTATCGCTGCAGAATTTTTAGTGGGCAGCTGAAGGTTGTGCACTCATACCCGGGGCATTGTGAGACAAAACCATGCCCGGAACAAACTGGATGACAAATGGTGGCACACCAAGCTGCCACAAGCGCAACCCGTAAGGATCCGGATTGACATCCTCGGCAATAATCAACCGTTGTTTCATGCCAGCTCATTACAAATGGATCGTCATGGGCCCATGCCATGAGACAACGCAACTTCTGGTCCTTTGAAAATGCCAATAAGTTTTCATGCCAGAGGACCTCTTGACGCACGGCAGCTCCGAAACTCCGTCCCCCAGGACTTCCCTGGCAGAAGGAGCGCTTGCATCATGCTGGGCACGGCGTATCCCAGCATCACAGCGGGTGCAAGAAATCACCGAATCATTTTGCTTGCCAAGGTGCGGGACGCATCCGATTGAAAGCGGATATCACCTGGCAAGTAAGAAGGAATGAAACAGCTACGTGGCATTGTTGCATGCCGCCGCTTGATACAAACAAACAAAATTTCAAGAGCCATTGCCCTGAAAATGGCCGGTTCGTGATGCCCTGCAAGCCAAATGAAGGTCAAGCTGCGTAGCGGATAGGATCTCGAAATGCCAGGAGCACCTTGGCTGCATTTGGGTTGCAATTACAACTAACACTCGTGAACACAAAACGCAACGTCCTTCCCGAAAACCATGTAACCGCAGTACGAGTACAACACAGGAATTGCATGTGACCCAGGTCAATACTTTGCGACTGAAACGTGCCCAGCAACATGTCAAGGATTAAGTGTCCCCTCCCCATCATGCCATGTGAGTCCATTGCCTGACATGAAGCACAACCTTGCCCTCGGTTGATTGGAACTTTGTGCCGTGAAGCCAAACAGCGTTTGTTAAACCGTGTAAAAACGTGCTGCCGTAGTGCCTTGGCAGCCTCATTCCTCAGATGCCCGGCGTGAAGCACTGATGCTTTATCTCCCGTTGCTCATGGCATTTCTGGTAGCGAAAAACAACATTCACATGGCCACCTGAAGCTGGTCAAAGTCTGGCCAAATCTCCGCCGCACGAGGGCTTGCACCTGTCAACCCAACATCGCAGCATGACAGCAATTAAAATCATAAAAGGTACGGTTCATACGGTTAAGCAGCTGTTCGTGTGCCTTCCGGGCGGCAATGGCGTGGGATACATACCGCGAATCCCACACGCCTGCCAGAAATGCACGAAACAACGCATCACACCCCGAAGCACATGGGTTTGCTTGCAATGAGACGGCCTGTTTTTTTGCCGGTCGCACATCGCCGGACATGATCATTCAACCGTACCTTGATTTCACACGCAATGAAATCTCGTTCTGCAACAACTTCCGCAATCAAACCTCTCAGCCACTGAACTTGCCATGACGCGATGGTGTCTGCAGCCGGCCAAAACGCGAAACTCATGAACGCCGGCCTCACAGTCATCAACCACGCGTTCCCAAATGCAATTGCGGGGTGCTGCTACAAGTATATGTTCGCCTATGCTTGAAAGCAAGCAGCCAATAGCTTGGCGTTCCCGTCGCATCGCACGGTGGAGCCGGCAATGGCGGTTTGCTGTAATCTCGGGCCCAATCCTTGGCCATGGAATACGTCCCCCGACAGTCACAAACAGTTGCTATCCGACATGTGCATGGCCAAGCTGCTGAAAGCTCAAATGGTACCATGTGAACGTCCTCGCCACAATTTTGGGGTCATAGGTCATGCTTACCACAAGCCATTTTTCGTCACATTCCGGCCAATGACATGTTGGACCGACGAAATTTGGTAACGCAGGGTACTGCAAATGCAACGGTCCAGTGTCATATTTAGGGCATTTTTGCGTGTGTTATTTTTTTCTTTGTGAGAGCCCCTGGGCACCTGCTCTTTGGGGGTGCGCTGGTCGGGAAGGTCCATGGAGGGATTCTGCTGTTGATGTCTGCTGGGGGGTGTTGCCCGCAGGATCCTGCAGGGGCATCCCTGAACCCATGACGCTAAATGTGTCCAGTTGTGGTGCGCATGTTGTCCAACCAGCCATTGTGCATAGATGAGTTGGCAATACGCTCATCTAGTCGGTAACTGGCAATTGCCCACCAGGCTAACTCTGGTCCCCCATTGTTTTTCCGCCTGCTCCAAGGTAGTGGATTGTGCGCTGGCATGACCGCAGCATTTCATGATGTTGCGCAGATATGTGTGCCCAGTGTTGAGGGCAAAACAAAGGTGGCCTTGGACCACAAGCGAAACCTTAGCCTTGATTTCTCGCAGATATGAAGCTCGTCAGCATCGGAAAATTTGAACCACGACAACAGCTGACAGGTCTCATCAAGCGACATGTCAAGATTGATCGAAGTGATTGGATGGAAGCTTTGCTGGGCAGCGGAGATTGGAGCGAGATCCGTAAATTTTTGTAGGGGATTTTGCCGTAAGCAAGGCTGCTTGTTGAACAGTTTGGGCCATGCAGTGGACTCGGATGATCGAGCTGAAGTATTGGCAGAACACCTTCAGACAGTGCATTGGTCAAAGAGGGCTGTTACTCAACCTGTCACGCAACAAGGCTTGGGTCCCGTGTTGACAATGTCTTGTGATTACATTTCACGGTGACGCGCGCAAGTGTGATAATTACCGTCGCGTTTCCTTGCTTGCTGTCGGTTACAAACTGCTTGCTTGCATTCTTCTGCGTGGATTGGAAGATGCAGGATCTGAATCACGTAATGTTGGGTCCCGATTGGTGTGGGGAGACTCAATTGTGCGAAGCTTCGCCGAAATTTTTGTCCCCCTGATTCGTTTGGGGGGCCGTAATTGTGCGAAGTTGCGCAGCCAAATAAAAAAATCTGAAAATAAGTAGATGAAATAGATAACCCTGGTTTGTTTAGAAAAACATGGCAAGCAGTAAGTATTTAGTTTAGGGTCGTAATCCAAGCTGCACTTTGTCACTTAGACTACAATCCCTTGTCCAGAGCTTCCAGAACCTCAAGTTTCCGGA